TCACTGCGTTTCAATTGCAGTCGTGACCAAAGCCGCGGGATGTATCATCATTGACACATCCTCCTTTAATAGACATAACCTGCATCCTCCTTTCTATTTCCCGCGCTTCACATCCACAAATCATTCATTGGCCTTCTTCGTGCGTATATCCGGGTGGCCGTTCCGCCGCCTACGGCGGGCGGCCACCTTACCCTAGTGTACTCTATTCACAATACGTTTCATCGATAACTGCGCCAATTGGCGACANCGCGATCGGCGACAACTCGCGTGCTAGTTCAAATATTCTGCTGCTGCTGTGTTCTGAGTGGTGGGGCATTTTTTTCTACTTCTTCAATGTATTAACGCATACGGAGTGCTGACAACAACGATTCGCATCAACAACATCGCATCAACAACATCGCATCAAGAACATTTCGGGTGTGTGTACCAAAACAAAAGCAACACATATTCACGGGGGGCGCACTACCCAGCCTGCTGCAGGTACTTTCCGCAGCACGGGTTATGCTGTTGTGATGGTGCGCGCGGAAAAAACTCCCCCCACTCGGGGTCTAGTATTTTCGCACGCGCGCTTCGCGCGCGGAAAAAACTCCTAAAGCAGTTTTTTTGCGAAAAGTAAACTCCGCTATCGCTCCGTTTGTTTTTTCGCACGCGCGCTTCGCGCGCGAAAAAAATCTCCTAAAACAGTTTTTTTGCGAAAAAAAACTTCGCTATCGCTCCGTTTTTTGTCGCACGCGCGCTTCGCGCGCGTAAAAATTCCTACAATATGCGCCTGGTTCCTCCGCCTAATGCACTCTACACAACAGCAGCAGCAGCAGTCCCCTCCTTGTTGGCTGTGGACAGAGCATCTGTACTGCTGTACGATTTGAGTAACATGTTTGAGCCCGGCTGTGCGAACACGGCCAGCGGTCACCAAGCGAGTCGTGTCGGGCATGCCCCAGAGACGGGATGCAGCTGGCAACAGGAGGAATAGAAACGTGTTGTCTACGGCAGTTGTCCCTCCGCTACATATGTTCAACTCTACACCACAGCAGCTCCCCTTCTTGGTTATAGGCCAGAGTCTGCACTCGTACGAACCCAATATGCCGTCAGCCTACCTTGTGCCCCACGGGGTGGCTTTGCCGACCTGCTGCATCGCAGCCACAAAAGGTGAACCACAGCAGTCCTTGCTCTTCACCAACGCCACGAGCCGCAGAAAGAAGCTGGGACGCGGAAGTCAAGGCGAAACTGCTTGGAGGTTATGCTGTTGCTGTCCTCGAGGTCCTATCCTCCAACATCTGTGCCCAAGCGCATTTCTCCACGTCTTTCCTCTCTCGCTGTCCTCTTGAGAGTTTAGGGCGGGGAAGGTCGGGCGCACGATCCTCCTCCTCTTCTTGCGGCAAGTCGTTGCGTTGGACCTCATCAAGGGCGACCAAGGCCACATACATCAAGAGCGGTTGCTGGTAGCAGGGCATCACCCACACCGGTTTCGGCCATCGGAAGAGAGCCCGGGCTGCTGATGTAGGGTGGAGTCCAGCGAGTGGCACTCCCGCCGCCAGCGAGGAGTGCCAGCGATGGCAGCCACTTCCACATTGGCGATGCTTGTGTGTGTGTGCCAGCAACGTCGGCGCATGATCCGAAAAAATGACAACTTTTTTTGACAAGCGCATCCTGTCAAAAAGTTGCCCAAAAAAAGACAGGAAAGGCTGTCAAAAAAGGTTCGTCATTTCTTCGTTGTCATATTTTAGCAAAAAAAGACGTTGGAACACGGGGCTATTCGGCCAGTTGTCATTTTTTGCAAAAAAGACAGCCTAAAAAAAGAAATCGTAACAAGTGGCCTAGCAAGAGACAGAGAGGGCACACTGTGGAGAGACCACTAACGACAAGCAAACACGCAAACATGGCCACCAACCAGCGATACATTGTAATGGTACGTCATCACTAGTGGGGGGTTGGTGCAATGGTGCAGCGTTGGGGGGGGGGAATTGGCTAAAGGAATTCAATCCGGCACGTATCGCGCCACTCGGTCCGTCTCTTTTCGTTTGCTTTCTTCCCTCGCCGTCTCGTCCGTCTCCTGCCCCCCTCCCGCCCCATTGGTTGGTGGCTTGTGATTTCGTTTGACCGCACGTTGTCGGCTGGCCTCTTCTTCCTTCTCGTGCCAGGAGGTCATGAACCTCTCAGCTCCCTGCAGCACCGCCGCATGCCAGGGTACTCCCCCTGCTACCTTCGCGGCTTCCGTCCACTTTAACGTCGGTGCCGTGTCTTTCGGTACCGGGATTCCGAAACACATGGATCGGTTTTCGTAGATCCGTGGTCGGCCCCGAATGCGTTCATTCAGGTCGTCGAGCACACACTTCCATTTAATGTGGACTATAGAGCTAATGTGAGAAACAACAAAAAACAACAACTTCGGCCAGTTCTCTTCCTGTCCCCCCCTACGTTGCTTCTCCCCCCCTGCCAGTTCTCCGAACATCAGTCGTTTCGGGGGTCGCCCGTCCGGCTGCCTTGCCAATGCTCCCGCGAACAGTAGGCGCCGTTGTCGGATCGTGGCTTCAACGCTCTGGCATTCGACCCTCTTCAGCGTCTGGGCGTAAGAGATGGCCGCCGGGCAATACCCCAGCACAACTGTTCCGTTTGGAAACATGCACACACGGGAACGATACCCCGTGGACCACTGCTTCCTGCAGTCTAAACGCGAGATGCACGGGTCACGCTATGAAAGCGAGACCGATCCTGCATGGTTGACATGCATACCGTATATGACACGAGATAACACGCCCCCTTGGCCAATTTTCGGAGCTCGATTTCTCAACTGCGGGAACAATCACAGCGTCGAAAACGGCGGCGTTGAAACGNGGCTTCAACGCTCTGGCATTCGACCCTCTTCAGCGTCTGGGCGTAAGAGATGGCCGCCGGGCAATACCCCAGCACAACTGTTCCGTTTGGAAACATGCACACACGGGAACGATACCCCGTGGACCACTGCTTCCTGCAGTCTAAACGCGAGATGCACGGGTCACGCTATGAAAGCGAGACCGATCCTGCATGGTTGACATGCATACCGTATATGACACGAGATAACACGCCCCCTTGGCCAATTTTCGGAGCTCGATTTCTCAACTGCGGGAACAATCACAGCGTCGAAAACGGCGGCGTTGAAACGGTCTCGTCGAGAGCTTTTCGAAAATGTATCGTTTCGTTTATGCATCCTCTTCGTCGTGGAGAACTCGAGCTTTGAATATCGGTCCAGGGGGTGTGATATCTTATGTCATATACGGTATATATGAATATATTTGCCAATATGTCGCACTGCGCTGAGCGGGCGGAGGGGAGAGGCAGTACCATACACAGACACGCCCTTGATATCAATCATGGAAGGAGGAGCGAGCGGCAGCGCAGGAGCGGCGGCGGCGGGTTTGTCAACCACGGTAGCGCCCGTTACCACATGGCAGATATTCCCGTAGCCGCTGAGCTTGCTGGCACCGGCCGTTCCATGAAGAATGCCGGCAAATTCACCTGGTTTGCAAGACGTGCACAAGGTGGGTTGTTAATGAAGGGCGGTGATTTTCAAGATCACCAAGGTAGAGTGCTCGCACGTCCACTGTGCTAGGGGCGGGCGGACGGGCTCCGCAGTGGTACAACCCCTGGTGGACCAGTTGGTTAGGGCCGACCCCAAGATCGCCGGTCCCGCGATCAAGAGGACTCTGAAGACCGTGGGGTTTACCGTCTCCGACCGGCAATCACAACGCGCGAAGAAGCGCATCTCGACCGCGTCTAAGGAGGATGAAGCGGGTGCCATTTCGCGTCTTCCATCCCTTCCTTTTCGAAGGGATCGAGCCCGATTGCCCGGGTTCGGTCGCCACCGTCGAGGTAAGAGTTTGATCGGGGCCCTTTTGTTCAATGTGCACGTGATGCAGCCGTGCAAGATCTTGCACGGGTGTGTTCTGTAGGGTACTCACAGACCTGTACCGGGGGTAATTACCCTCTGTAATTACCCTACAGACAATCTTTCTTTGTATTTTCTGAAACGCCCTCGTACAATACAGAATAATAGTTCTGTGAGGTTCTGTAGGACCCTCGTACAGTACAGAATAGTTCTGTGGGTTCTGTAATAACTCCCGTACCCTACAGAATAGTTCTGTGGATTCTGTGACACCTCCCGTACCCTACAGAATAGTTCTGTAACGCCCTCGTACAATACAGAATAGTTCTGTAAGGTTCTGTAGAACCCTCGTACAATACAGGATAGTTCTGTGGGTTCTGTGACACCTCCTGTACCCTACAGAATAGTTCTGTGGATTCTGTAGCAATCTCGTACAATACAGAATTGTTCTGTGAGATTCTGTAGAATGCCAGGTGTGACGTCAGGTCCGCGCACAAAGGGGAAGTTATACACATGTATATTTATATATATATATANCCCTACAGAATAGTTCTGTAACGCCCTCGTACAATACAGAATAGTTCTGTAAGGTTCTGTAGAACCCTCGTACAATACAGGATAGTTCTGTGGGTTCTGTGACACCTCCTGTACCCTACAGAATAGTTCTGTGGATTCTGTAGCAATCTCGTACAATACAGAATTGTTCTGTGAGATTCTGTAGAATGCCAGGTGTGACGTCAGGTCCGCGCACAAAGGGGAAGTTATACACATGTATATTTATATATATATATATTTTGCCTTCGGACAATTGCAGATGTACCTCAGAAAACTTTCACTTAATGTCTCANTTTTTGCCTTCCGACAATTGCAGATGTACCTCAGAAAACTTTCACTTAATGTCTCATCCTCTACATGAATATTAAACCAATACGAAGTACAACAACAACGCATGTAGGACTTATTTCTACTGTCACTTACATCGTAAAAAATATCTATCTCCTTTTAAACTTGAAATAAAACCAGTGACAATCCTCATGGTATCCTATATGCGTTCGTAAGCTTGCTAAAATACTACTGCGTTGATGTCCTCTTGTAAAAGCTGAAATCCAACAAATGCTTTGATCCATGCTACATCTCTGTGTTGGAAAAGCCCTTTCTTCTCCGTTCATGATAACCCTTACCCTATTCTACGCAAATCTGTCACATCTACTCTCAAACAAGACGCCAACTTCAAACGAAAACGTGTTGTACGATGCGTCTACACTCCATCCCCATATCATTGGCGTTGACTGGTTCGAGGTCGATCTTGTTCGCCTGTTCGTCTTGACGCCCGCGCAATGCGAGCTTGTACGTCTGCACTCGCCGAGATATGGCCACCTGTGTAGCCACCGAAACGATCTGAAGAAGTCGTTCCTTGAAGACTCCTTTCAGAGCCATCGCTCCTCCGTCCCTNCGCCAACTTCAAACGAAAACGCGTTCTACGATGCGTCTACACTCCATCCCCATATCATTGGCGTTGACTGGTTCGAGGTCGATCTTGTTCGCCTGTTCGTCTTGACGCCCGCGCAATGCGAGCTTGTACCTCTGCACTCGCCGAGATATGGCCACCTGTGTAGCCACCGAAACGATCTGAAGAAGTCGTTCCTTGAAGACTCCTTTCAGAGCCATCGTTCCTCCGTCCCTTCCTCCCACGGCATGTGTCGCAAGTTCATCGATGAACTCGTAACCCTCCTACTCTTCAAGGCGGCCAAAGCTTTCCACGGCTAAGGTGGTAAGTTTAAAGCTGCGTTCGTCAAAGGACACGTGTCCCGGACGAGCGTAGTGCTGACGCTTTCGCGCCTCGGATGCTTGGGCTGCGATTCCATCGCTGGTCGCGCTGCCGTTCCGCAAGTGTACCTGTGCTTGCGGGTCTGCGTGTGTGACATCGAGGAGTATTCCTTTGTTGCGGTACCCCGGAGAAGATGCGTTCGTGAGGGCTCCTGGCCTGATGACGATGTCCATGCTCAGGTTTCTTTCCCCCGTGAACGGTGCCCCGCTTTCAACGTCGTGTTTGACGCGAAGGCCGTTGAGTGCTCTCGATCGTGCGTATTTTAACGGCTCGTGCATGTTGACCTGTGCTTCATCCCTTGGACAGGTCCTTGCGTGCACCGTTGTGATGATCTCGCCTTCCCTGCCTCTGTGGCACCTGGGACATCTTTCCGCCAAGAATTCTTCAACTCCCAAGGCGCGTCTCGTCGCGTAGACGAATTCGTTCGATGGAATCTCTCGAGCTCGGTCGGTGGGAGCCGCTCTCAGGAACGCGTGTCCCCCTTGCCCTTGCGAGCTTCTCGTTCGTGCGTATACCATGTTCCTGGCCTCTTGACCTCCGTAGGGGTTGTCCCGCGTGGGTGGTACCGCCTCATATTGCCTTCGGCCTCTCTCTGTGCTGTGTTTCTGTGTTTCTGTGTTTCTTTTTTTCATGACCTCCCTGCCTACTCTGCTGTGTTGGGTACCGTGATCTCGCTTTGCTGTTGCTTTTGTTTTGGTACGTCTGGTTGTCTGCCCATCTGCCGCCTCTTTGTCCTGTTTGCTCCGTTACTCCCATGCCCTGGTGCGTAGTGCCTGTGGTGCTGGTACGTTATCCTTTAATTTTTCTTTGGGCGGGTGTGGGAAGCGTCCTCCTTTATTTTTGTTTTTGTATTATTTTGATCGGGTTCCGAGGGCTCTTTTCTCGAACGGTCGGTGCAATACCTGTTCTTTTCTTTCTATCATTTTGTTTTCTTTTTCCGAGTGGTTTGTACCCTATTTTCGTTTTTTTTTCCCGCGGCGTCGTGTGTGCCGGGTTTTGAGACACCTACTGGGTAGAGATGGTGATGTTCCTCCACGCCAACTACAAGCATATCCCCGCGTTCAAGGACATTCCCATCATTGCCGCCAAGGATATCAGGGCATGTCTGCCGCCACGGTTCAATGGGGGGGATGCTGACCTGGCGGCCGCTTAGGCTGCCTTCGACGTGGTTGAGAACACCAACAACTCGGACATCGGCCTGTGAAAGTCGCGAGCGTTTGATGAGTAGCCTCTTTCTTTGACTCCGTAAGAAGGACGTAGCAGTCAATGTTGGTTGAGTCGGAGTCGCATGGGAAGGCTAAGGCTTCTGCTCCGGGTGTTGTGTTAACGAACTTCAGTTTCGCGGTCGTGCACTAAGTGCTGCGCGGCTCCGGCGGCAGTTGATTTGAACGATAGGCTAATTTTAGTGCTAGAAGTATGATTTATTTTTTGTTGGGTGCTTAGCGCCCTTGCCTCTTCCTGTACCTTCGTCGTAAACACAGCAGGCACGTCGTCAAACTCGTCATGTTCCGTAGGGTAATTCAGGGGTACCGGGTAAGTACCGGGGGCTTTTCTGTAGACACAGAGTTCTGTAACACCCCCTGTACCCTACAGAATAGTTCTGTGGGTTCTGTGACACCTACAGAATAGTTCTGTGGGTTCTGTAACGCCCTCGTACAATACAGAATAGTTCTGTGAGGTTCTGTAGAACCCTCGTACAATACAGAATAGTTCTGTGGGTTCTGTGACACCTCCCGTACCCTACAGAATAGTTCTGTGGATTCTGTGACACCTCCCGTAGACGCATCGTAGAACGCGTTTTCGTTTGAAGTTGACGTCTTGTTTGAGAGTAGATGTGACAGATTTGCGTAGAATAGGGTAAGATGTTATCATGAACGGAGATGAAAGGGCTTTTCCAACACGGAGATGTAGCATGGATCAAAGCATTTGTTGGATTTCAGCTTTTACAAGCGGACATCAACGCAGTAGTATTTTAGCAAGCTTACGAACGCATATAGGATACCATCAGGATTGTCATTGGTAAGTTGAAGAGGAGATACTTTTACGATGTAAATGAGAGTAGAAATAAGTCCTACATATGTTGTTGTACTTCGTATTGGTTTAATATTCATGTAGAGTATGAGACAATAAGTGAAAGTTTTCTGAGGTACATCTGCAATTAATTGTCGGAAGGCAAAAATAAATAAATAAATAGTTCTGTGAGGTTCTGTAACACCCTCGTACAATACAGAATAGAACTGTGGATTCTGTGACGCCTCCCGTACCCTACAGAATAGTTATGAGGTTTCTGTGACACCCCCGGTACCCTAAAGGGAGTACCCGTACCCTACAGAACACACCCGTGCAAGATTGTGCAATGACTCTAGACAACAGCAGTACCACATGTCCCTTAGCATGTTGTAGATGTGCCGTCGTCACGTTCCGTAGGCTCTGGGCACAACTGTAGGCTACCCTCGCTTCTTGCTCGTCTTCATCCAAATGATCCATCCCCGCACGCGATGTGTGAGCAACGTGCAGCCCAGTTTGTCGTTCGGGTCCTGAGCTTCCTCAGGTTGTTATCCCGGGTGCACGCGTTTTCCCTTTTTTGATGAGTTCCGACAACCGGTTCGTCAGAAGCTTCTTGATGTTGGGTAAGGGCTACGTCGCCGCGCACAGTGTCCCCAAGGCGAGTGCATCTCTTTCGTGATTCTCGTGCAGACGTTGTTGGCTTTTCATTTTCGCTGAGATTTTCCAAGCTATTAGGTAGACTGTGTATTCAAGCCGCGGAGAGCGCCATTGGTCATTGAAAGCCGTGGAGAGCCATGAAAAAGTCACAAACACGTTGGTCACGTCGATGCGCTTTTTTTAGGGTGAACGGTACGACACAGCATCCTTGAACCCTCTACATCATTTGTTGTCGATGAATGAACTCGCGGGGGATAGAAGCAGTGTTGTTCTCAAACCCGCAGCGAGGTTTGCGCAGGCACGAACGAGTGATTTTCATTTTCAGGAAACAATCGAGTGCGCCTTGGCTTTCCAGCCACACAATATCGAAATTACGACCAGCCATGTCTCGAGCTCACCAGCAAAGTCGGTTACTATGCAATTTTATTGTAGCGCACCTCTGAGGACATTTGAGGCTTATACCAAGTGGTCCGAGGAAGGCCATCAGCAATTGCTCCTCAGCTTCACACTTGAGCCCCGGGTTGAATTTTGCACTTTGGTTGGCGCGCCATGTCTCGTAACAACGCAATGAATGGGGTCAAGTGTTCATTATGGCGACTCCAGTCCCCCTATTTGTTCGTAGTACGCCGTGTACTACGTGTGTGTATCCTCTCTAACAACATGGGGCCGAACAATTGCACCACGGAGATCCGGTGGAGGTTTGAAGTGGTGTCAGCAGTAATGGCTAATCGACTACTACTATAATACCTGCTTTATATCTCGAACGGGCAATATCTCTGTGTTCGAGTGTATGTCTTACTTCGGCACTTTTCCCTTGTTGTTGTTGTTGTTGTTGTTGTTGTTGTCTTCACATTAAAAACCATCCCGGTCTCTCTATCCAGTACCTCCTTCTGTCTCAATCTCTCCGTACTAATCCATCACTTGACTCGGCCAATTTCCGTGGTCACAGGCTAACGTACCTAGAAAAGGTATACCAAAATAAAATGGACCCCAAGGGTCAGCAGAGCGATAAAATACAAGAAAACAAAATATAATCAGAAACAAATAAAATAAAATAAAATAAATAGACTAATTAGACTAGTGGGACCGCCGCACCACCAGCCTGGGGGGGTAGCCTCCCACTACATGGAGGCAGGTCGACGGCCAAAGGAAGGGGCGGGGGTAGGAGTAGCCGGTGGTGTGTCGTCTGCAGCATTCCGTAGTGGTTGCGGCGTGGGGACCATGTCATGCAGCCGTACTTGTAGTCAACAAAAATGCTGCTGCTTGTGACCGTGGTACTTCAACACCACGGCAATGCTGTGACCGACATTGCTGTGGTTGCATGTACCTCATCCAGCGTGTTCCCGGGGTTGTTCAAAACGAGCAGTAGCTGGTTTAACGGTTTACGCCATCCATCCGTGGGAGGAACGGTGGGCAAGGACTGCTGTTCCCTTCAAAATTGATTTCATTTGAAAGAACCGACAGAAAAGAAGGCACCCAGAGAAAGAGAAAGTGAGAAAGAACGGGGGGGATGCCCGCGTCAACCGACAAGGTTTGGGTAACGTGGCGACCTCATCCTACTATCGGTACAATTGGGGTGTGTTTTTGGGCCGATTTTTGTTCCAGGTGCAAGCCTACAGATTCGTACAACAGCAGCAGTACAGAAAGCAGCATACCGGCCACGGAAAAGGCTTTCCTACTACCCTTGGCGGCATCTAGCATTTCACGTGTTTGCTAGCTCTCACTCTTGCCGTTTTGATAATTTTCTGCCGTCCCTTTGCACGAATCCGAGACTACGTCGTATGATGACATGTTTCTCCAGCTCTCGCCCTTCTCTCGCCTTGCTTCGATTACAGCGCGTTTCTGGAACAACTGTACTTGTCGACATTGCTTCGCAGCTTGATGGGCGCCCGCGTCCGAAACAGTTTATGGGATTCAGAGGGCGGGCCCAAAAAACATTACGGCAGAACGCAAGTAGGGCCTTACGAGACATCCCAGCACTAAAAAAGCGTTTGATCTTCCCTTACGAAATACCCAATTCTCCGCCCCTGCCGTTCTGAACAGATGGTGGCCATGGACGCTGGCCACCTCAAGGGTTCGTGGAGGGAGTCATGTACGTCCTCTGCATGCACGACAGCAACAAGATCATCCACGTCAGCACTGTACTCGCAGACAAGGAGAACGCGACGAACTACAAGTTCCTGCTCCAGCAGACCTGCCGGAACGAGCACATGCATCGCCGCTTTCGTCCGGCGAGGTGACGTTGTTTATCGACGGTCACAAAGGATCACCGGCGGCCCTCAGGGCGGTTCTACCGCAAGCGCCATGGCGTGCGTGCGTGAAGCACCTCATCACCAACAAAAACATGAAGGCAATGGAACACTTAAGTAGAATTTGGGGAATAGTGACCTTTGTTTTCGTTTTATCTCAAATGAAATGATCAAGAGTTTCGCTGTATGTCGTCGCGCATAGCAACCTCTATAAAAATGTGTAGAGTATCGGACAGCCAATAGAACATTTCCCTGCTGGTGGAGGCCAGGTGCACAAGATGAGGCACTGGCCCAACTAGAAAACTTGACCATCACCCCCCCCACAGAGCCGGAAACTTCTTCTTTGCTACACTATTGCCTCGTCGTTGGAATTTCAGCCCATTTCTCGCAAACAGCATGTAATGTATGTACCGTATCTTGGGGGACACGTCGTGTGCTACTTGCGACGACGCTTCACGCGTAGTTTGAGCGGATCACGTGTTAGGGTGTGAGGGATGGTGCAGTCTTATGAACTGCAGCGTCTTTGCATCGAGCAAATGGCCCCAAAACTGTATGTACGACTCTCGGCCCGCCTCCGCGCCCCCCCAAAAAAACGCTCATGACTTGCTGTGCTAGAAAAAGTTCCCGCCCATATTTTTGCACCCTTGGAGGAGAGGGTAACTCATCTTGCGTGCGTGGGAGTATGGATGTTTGACGGTTGTTGAGCCACAGTGTTGGTAAACTCGTGGCTTCTGGGGAAAAGATGTTGTATTAATGAGAC